GGAATTGCTCAAGAAAAGTCCAACAGCGTGCCAGATGTCCCACGTTGTCACCTTCGGCATTTTATCTCATGTGGCCCTAAGAGAATTGCCTACCTAATGAATTACCTCGCCTTGTAGTAAATAGAGGGTGAATGGACATGTTTGCTTCTTCCTTTTGTTCTATACATTCCTGAATCATTCTTTTTATTTATTTTTATAAGAATTCTTTCGGGCCAGCAGGCGGCGTGGTGGTTCAGGTGCTGGACACTCCCACATGGCTGACCGTGGTTCGTGTCCAGGATCTGGTGGCTTGCTTTCTCACTTTCCTTCTCTCTGTGTGTCTTCCTCTTTGGTCAAATTAAAATAAATGAATAAATAAATTAAATTAAATTAATAATTCTTTAAAAAAAGAATTCTTTCTTTCTTTCTTCCTTTCTGTCTTTAGAGAAAGATTTTTGCTATAGGGCGTATGTGCTTGTACACAGAGAAACAGACAGACAGAAACTGAGAAATCGCCGCCCAAGGGGGATGGCCATGCTGCAATTCCTTCTCTATTCTCTCAGGATTCTGGGCACACACGTACACGAGCCCAGTGTGTATTAAGCTGCCAGATCCAGAACTTGAATCACGTCTGACTACATGGGAGTCCAGCAACATAACCATTACTCCGTCTGCTGGTCCCAAGAATTATTTATTTCACTTTATTTATTACTATTATTACTTTCCAATCTGGTAAGAACACGTGCACTTACCACAAAAAGAGGGAAAGTGAGAAAGTAAGTCACCAAGTCTGGGACTCGAAGCACAGTCGGCCATGTGAAAATTTAGTGCCTCAACCACCATGCCCCTGCTGACCCCACATCCCTATTAAAAAAAAAAAAAAAAAAAATTTTTTTTTTCTTCCTTTTTTTTTTTTTTTTTTTTTTTTTTTTAAATTTGACCAGAGAGAGAGAGATAGAGAAAGGGAAAGCGAGAAAGCAAGCGGCGCCAGGTCCGGTATTGAACTGTGGTTCAGCACCTTAACCACTACACCACTTGCCACTCCCATCCCTCCACAGTCATTCTGAATATTTGCACTGCAAAGCCATCTGGCCTGGTCCTGATGATCAGGTCTTGGAGGTGCAACAATTCTTTTAAAATGGCAGCAAGTGTAACCGTCTCTCAGGAATGTCCAAGACGCGTAGATAAGAAAACTGTGAGCTAGTCACCCTCGCTCCTTCCTAGGCAGACAGGGCCAGGATTTCACTCCCCCATTTCCGCACGTGTTCTACAACCCAGCCTCACCTTTGCACTCTCCTCCCATCCCCCATTCTCGGTCCTCTGTGCTACTTCTTCCCTTCCTCCCACATAAGTCCTTACCTTGTCATTTACTGGAACAAAGTTGCTGTCCAGAGTGACAATACGAAAGCGCACTAGAAGGGAACAGGCATCATTAGCGAAGAGGTTGGATTTATTTCCCCTCGGAATCTTTCTTCTGACCCCTCTATGTCCTCACACATGAGTCTGCAAAACCTCCTTAGCTTTTACTTTTTTAGAAAACCTAGTCAAAGGGGCCAGCAGGTGGTGTAGTAGTTAAGGCACTGGACTCCCATGTGACTGACCACAGTTCGAGTCCAGGACCCAGCAGCTTGAAATTCACACCAGGCATGTGTGCGTGCATGCCCAAAACCCTGAGAGGAGAATGGAGAAGGGATTGTGGTGCTGCCAACCTCTCTGGGGGATGATTTCTCTCTTTCTGTCTCTCTGTCTCTTCAGCAAGAGCACATGCCCCATAGCAAAAACCTAGAGAGAGAGGCGAAGCCCAAACACAGTTTCCATTCAGAGCTACTGGCTATAAAACCTCAGAACGGAAGGCCCCTCTAAGGAAGAATGAACAAATGCAAATAACGCAAAGCTAAATGCCCCTAATACTTTCTAATCCACCTGCAATTCAAGCAGCTTGTCAGAAAGGCCCAGCAAGCCAGTTCCACTTGCCCCATCCACTCCGGGAGAGACGTGTGCTTTCTTAGACACGCGCACACAGGAGCAGCGGCACCTCCTCTTCCTGCTGGGAACATGGCATGTGTATCTGGTAACACCTCAGCCTTCCAGACTCGCTTTCTTTTCTTTTTTTTGAGAGTTTTTTTTTGCTATAGGGTGCGTACACTCACCAGAAAGATAGAGAGAGAGACATAGAGACAGAAAGCGAGAAATCACCCCCCGGGGGGGATGGCCATGCCGCAATCCCTTCTCCTCCTTTCTCCTCCCTTCTCCTCTCGGGATCTTGGGCACGCACGCACACGCGCCCAGCGTGAGTTTAAGCCACTGGGGTCAGGGAGGCGAACCGCGGTCGACTACATGGGAGTCCAGCGACATAGCCATTACGCTAACTGCTGGTCCCAGACTCACTTTTCTTCTGCGCTCCTTAAGCTCCCACCAAGCCACACACACACCCTGCACCCACGGTACGCAGCTCTCTGTCTCCGCAGTCTCGGCTTACCTTCCTGTCCGGGGGTGTAGACAGGTTTGTCGGTCTGTACAAAAGTGCCAGTCCCTTGCCTCTGGATTAAAACCTTTTTCATCTCCTCAAAGTTGACATTTTTCCCAATTGCTGACACTCGGATTGTGGCCACTTCTGTGCTACCCGCGGGAGGTGGTACCTGTACAAGAGAGGGGCGTTCTGGAGAAGAGAAGGGCACTGGGGGGGCGGAATCGACCGGGCTCAACCCCACAGCGGGAGAGTGAAAGGAAGCACTGAGTTAGAGGGGGAGCCAGGGCAGAGCCACGCAACACGCAACACGTTGCAGAGACGGAAACAGTGTCGTGAGCGGGTAAGGTCAGTAACTAAGAGGGAATCCAAGGTCGAGGGAACGGTGAGGGAGTTACAGCCAGGAGTTGGAGGTAGATTGAAGGGAAATAGATTGAGCGTCTGAGGCAAAAGTACAAGAACAGAAATCACAGTTAAGAACGAGAAAGGAAGGGACGAGCGTGAAGGCCGAGTCTGTGCTTACCGAGAAAGAGAGGCAGTGTAAGTGCCTCTTCTTCATTCCAGAGTGTTCTAGTAACTTCTGGGTCTTGTCTTGGGTCTCCAGAGTAATAGTAAATTTGACATCGCAGTACCCAGGGCTGAGGTCCAAACAAACCTTCTGCGTGGAGGGGAAGTTAAGCTGGGCTGGTAATGTCACCAGGTAGTTGCTATCAGGGGAACACAATCATTATAGAGCAGTCATCGTCGATTCAGTCCGTGAGAAGTGAAGCACTCTCTGAGCACTCGGCATCTAGCAGTGAATAGAACAGACCCGGCCCCAGCCTTTCTGGGCCCTACTTTCTATGAAGGAGAAGCAGACAAGCAACAGATAACTCAGCGCAGGTCCTGAAGCCTCCCTCAGGAGGCCGTCCCTGAGCACCTGTAGCTAGAGACCGGAGGAAGAAGCTAAGTCTGTTACCGAGGGCAGAGTCCAGGGATATTTAACATTCATCTTTGGTGTTAAGCTTCCTTTTGGTGCCTCTGCTTTTCTCTTTGTGTAAAGAATCAATGGACCCAACGGAGAGAAAGAAATGTAAAAAACCCCGAAAGTTACCGCCCCTTCCCCATATGCACTTGCGAGAAAGACAGCAAAGAAGCCAGCTGCTGGAGGTCAGCCCTGGCACCAGCACTTACGGAAGGCCTTCTGCGGTGGCTGGCCATAGGGCCAGCATTCCTAGAAGGAGTGGAGCCCACATCCTCGGGACGGGAACCAGAAGCCTGCTTCCCCGCCGTAGCTTATATCCGACCACCCCCAGGTGGGGTGTGCAGCCATGACTGATCCTCTAGCCAATCACCTCCTGGGGCCTCAGGCTAAGGTGGTAGACCAGGGTAGGGCCATTGCTCACGTCCTCGGGTTCGTGTCTCCCTGGAACATTCATACTGGTTCAGCCAGTCCATGAGACCAGTTCTGGGGGAAAGCCAAAGCCGAGTATTCACAGAGCGAAGCTCTCAGAATGTGCTTTAGGCTCCTCCCTTTTTTCTGCCTGTCCCCATTTGATCTCTTTTCCTCCTTTCATTATCCTGCTAAGGCACACTGTGGGTCACAGGTATGAGGACAGTAGCAACAGGAAAGCAGTAAACCTCTGTCTTGTGGGACATTTAAAAAATTAATACTTCCAGGTCGGCAGGTAGTGTGGTGTTTAGGGTGCTAGATGTCCACATAGCTGACCTTGGTTCAAATCCCGGACCTGGCAGCTCACTTTCCCACTTTCTCTCTCTCTCTCTCTCTGTCTCTCCCTGGTCAAATTTAAAATAATAATGATAGTAATAATAAAACTAAATAAGATAATAATGATAATAATAATAAAACTAAATAAAAAATAATTCTTTACAAAATTTAATGCTGGACCCAGCAGATGGCATAATGGTTACGTGGCTGGACTCCCATGTAGTCAACCGTGGTTCAAGTCCCGGACACAGTGGCTTAAAACTCACACCAGGCATGAGTACATGCATGTCCAAAATCCCAAGAGGAGAATGGAGGAGAGGGGTTGCAGCATGGCCAGCCCACCAGGGGGTGATTTCTCACTTTCTGTCTCTGTCTCTTCAGTAAGTGCATGTGCCCTATCACAAAAATCTCTCTCAAAAATAAATTTAATACTACGAGTATTGTAACTGGATGGAAATAGGAACATGCACAGTTTCAGGGAAAATATAAATTAGATAGCCTTTCTAAGAGTAATTTCACAATACACATTAAGGGACCAGCAGTTAGTGTAATGGCTATGTCGCTGGACTCCCATGTAGTCGACTGCAGTTTAAGTCCAGGACCCGGTGGCTTAAAATTCACGTCGGGTGCATGTGCGTGCGTGCCCAAGATCCTGAGAGGAGAATGGAGGAGAAGGGATTGCGGCGTGGCCATCCCCACTGGGAGGTGATTTCTCTCGCTTTCTATCTCTTTGCGTCTCTCTCTCTCTGGCGAGAGCATGCACCCTATAGCAAAAAAAAAAACACATTAAAAGTCTAAGATTTGCAGGGACCAGCAGTTAGCATAATGGCTATGTTGCCGGACTCCCACATAGTTGACCATGGTTCGCATCCCAGACCCAGTGACTTAAAACTCACGCCAGGTGCGTGTGCATGTGTGCCCAAGATCTCGAGAGGAGAATGGAGGAGAAGGGATTGCAGCGTGGCCATCCCCCCTGGGCGGTGATTTCTCACTTTCTATCTCTATGTCTCTCTCGGTCTGTCTGGCAAGTGCACGCACCCTATAGCAAAAACCTCTAAAAAAAAAAGTCTAAGATTTGCATATTCTGGATATTTCAAAGAATTATTTTTTAATATTTAATTAATTTATTTACTTTTTAAGTTTGCTATAGGGTATGTGGCTCACCAGAGAGAGACAGAGAGAGAGAAGGAAAGTGAAAAAGCAAGCCACCAGGTCTGGGACTGGAACCGCGGTCGACCATGTGGGAGGCCAGTGCCTTAACCACCATACCACTTGCTGGCCCCAGAATTACTTCTTTATTGTTATTATTATAAATAGAGACAGAGACATAGGCACCTCCAAACTGGGTCTTGATGCTACAATCTACCCCAGCTTCAGGCAGCCCCAGACCACGGGTACATGTGCACACTCAGAGAAGTTCCGAGACACCAACCAAAACGCTTTCCATGTGGGTTGGCCTCACAGAGCATCGAGTTACTGCTGTGCCACGTCTGGCAAGATCTGCATATTCTTTGACTCAACAGCTCCTACTCTGAAAATGTATCGTTTTTTTAAGATGTTTTTGCCTTAGGGCACTTGTATTCATCCGAGAAAGACAGGCAGAAAGAGAGGAAGAGAAATCGCCCTCCAGGGCGGATGGCCATGCCACAAATCCTTCTCTTCCATCCTCCTCCAGGGATCTTGAGACACATACACACATGCACCCTGAGTGAATTCCAAGCATCTGGGCCCAGGACTCGAACCACTGTCAACCATGTGGGAGTTCAGCAATGTAACCACTACACCATCTGCTGGCTCCTGGAAATGTATCTTACTGGAGGAGAAAAAAATGCCCATCTGACAAAATGTTCCGACATTGAGATTCTTCAGTGTGCTTTTCTTTTTTTCAGTTTATGTTATTTCTTCCGAGAGAGCAAGAGAAAAAGAGAGAAGCACTCCCACGGGAGTCCTCACGTGCAATCCACCTCCAGCCTCGGCCAGCCTGCACCACGCATGAGCACCCAGGATGCACGGGAAGGCCCCAGGATACACACGGCCCTCCAGTACGGGCCCCGCATCCCGAGCAGGTCACCGCTGCCCACTGCTACGAGCCCCCTCATGTCCTTCCTGCTGGCAAGACTTGGAAGCCACTCAGAATAGCAATTAGTCAGATGTTTTTCTGGACCAATGACCCAAAACCAGACTAAACAAGACAGATTTTAGTAACTGGGGTTGATTAGACATTTAAAACAAGAACCTGAGGAACCAGAACAAAGATGTTATGGCTAGAACTAGAGACGGGCTGCCAGGACTCACTTGCTCAATCTTCCTCTCCCATCTCCTCGTCTCTGTCGGCCTCGTTTTCTCATGCTGCACACGGGTTCTCCTTCCAGTGGTGGGGAAGATGGCTGCTGTGTGTCCCCAGTCCAGACCTGCCCAGCTCTGCAGCTCCAGTCGTGACAATTTTCACCATGTTAAGGAAATTCTCAAAGAAGGACTCTGTTCCTCCTCCTCTCACACGCTTACCTCTGAGTCAGTCCGTAGGGGCAGCTAGTGTGACAGGCAGGCCCTGGGACGTTCTCCAACCCACAGGCCAAATGACAGGCGGCCCCTTAGACTGGAAATTCCTCTAAAAACATGAAGCTGGGGAGTGGAATTTCTCCAAAGAAAGAGGAGTCCCTCACTCTAGGAAGTGGATTGGATAAAGATGCTGGGAAATAAAAATGGAGTCTATTACAATGCACAATACAAATTCAGTTGAAGAAATCATGTTATATAAAACAATAATATGCAACCATTAAAAATGATGTTTTGGGGACCAGCAGATGGCCGAATGGTTATGTTGTTGGGCTCACACGAAGTTGACTGTGGTTCAAGTTCCAGACCTGGTGGCTTAAAATTCACACCAGGTGTGTGTGCGTGTGCGTGTGCCCAAAATCCAGAGAGGAGAAATTCGGAGAAGGGATTGCGGCATGGCCATCCCTCTGGAGGGTGGTTTCTTCGAGGGTGGGTTCTCACTTTCTCTCTCTCTCTCTCTCTCTCTCTCTCTCTCTCTCTCTCTGGTGAGCACACATGCCCTGTAGCAAAAATCTCTCAAAAATAATGATAGTAATAATAATAATGTTTTCATGCTAAGAAATGTTTTGCCATACTAATTGAACTGGAGGAAGGGTGTGATACAAAACAATAGAATTCTGTTTTTGCTTTGGATATAAAAAGCTGGAGAGAATATTGCTCCCTCTCTGGCAACAAGAATAAAGCAAACTGCCAAATCACTTTTTCGAAACACTAATTCTAAGAGCTGGGCTGAGGTTGCAATTCAACGAAGTAGCCTGAAATCCAGAGA